ATGTGCCGATATGGTCATCTGTTTTTGCTTCTTGGATATGTTTAATGTTTATCTATGGTCCTAATAATTAATTATGTATGTGTTTTGGTAATTTTTTATGTTTTCTGATTACCTCCAGGAAGATGTGATCAGGATGTGGTCTTCCCTTTTCACTCTCCTTATTGTTTAACTCAGAGTAACTTTTTTGGGCCTCAGTTGGGCCTGGGCCTCGGCAGCGGGCCGTTTGAGCCTCAGGCGGGTGGGTTGGACCTTGGGTGGGTGGTTTGGGCCTCTGGCGGGTGGTTTGGTCCTCAGGGGACCTGGGTATCAGCAGCTGGGCATCAGGCGGCTTGGGCTTCTGCAGGCAGGTTGGCCTGATTGGGCCTGTGCCTCGGGGACCAGGCTGAGGGCGGGTTGGGTCTCAGGGGCATTGAACCTTAGCGACCTGGCTACACGGCGGGTTGGGCCTCCGGGGCCCTGGGCCTCAGTGACCTGGCTACGCAGCGGGTTGGGCCTTGGTTGGGCCTGGGCCTTTGTGACCAGTCTGTGGGCGGGTTGGGCCGCAGGGCATGCCTTGGCCTTAGTGGGAGTGTCTGGACCTTAGGAGGGCCTTGGCCTCAGTGGGCAGGCCTGTGCCTTGGGCATTCCTGAGCCTCAACGGCTTGGCAGAGGGCTGGTCTAGGCCAGGGCAGTAGAGGGCTGGGGGTCGTGGCTGCAGGGAGGTAGTGTCCGTATTTGATGACATAAAAAATGCTCCTCTCAGTCTCTCTGTACAGTGGGTTCCCCGAATTTCCTGATATCCACACCGATATCCCTCTCTATTTGTTGGGCTTTGTTAGTTTATGCTTCCTTTTCTCTGAAAATGCAGCCTTCTAAGTGGGGTTGTTCTAGCCCTGCATTCCAAGGTCTGCAGGAGGCAGAGGCACTTGCCAGTGCAGGTGCAGAAGCAGGAGCCGTGTGCAGGCAAGCAAAAGCTTAAAATGCCTGTAATTCCTCAGCAATTTGATCTTTAAAAAAATCGAGTTCAGAATGTTGAAATATAAGATCTTATGTTTGTTCAAAGGCTGTCTGTCTGCTAGACAGAGGTTTCTTATGTGCGATTCCAACCCTTTTCCCCTGAGACTGCCCTACCTGAGCTGCCTGGTCAGGGAAGCGCTGGAAGTCGAAATCCCTCAGTTATTCTTTGGTCCTTCTTATTCATTGTTCAGCTTTTACATTCACATGAATAATCAAAAAATACTATGGCTTAGGCCAGGCACATATTAATCTAAAAAGTAACATCTTTGTTTTTTACCACTTTAAATAGGTTGTTTTGTTTTCCCCTAGATGTGCCCATTGCAGTACTCTTGACTGTTATTTATGTGGGCATTGATTGTGGATCTAAGTAAAACAAAATCCTTGACAATTTCAACATTTTCTTCATTTCTCATGATGTTGAGGTGTAGTTCATACTGAAGGCTGTAGTCTTTGATTTTCATCAGGATGTGCTTCAATTCCTCTTTGTTTTCAGCAAGCAAGGTTGTGTCAAAGAGTATATCATAGATCTTCTTCCAATCCTGATGCTGTGTTCATTTTCATTTAGCTCTGCTTCTCAGAATGTTAGCTGGGATGTAGATGTTACCCTTTCAGTGAGGACTTCTTGACCCATTCTAAAATATATTTAAAATTTTAGTTCCTTCCCATTTCGTTCTTATCCCTATTTCTTCTGGAAGTTTCTTCATAGAGCTATTACTTTGGACACAGTATGTTTTACTCATTTTCTTATTGCCTGTCTTTCCTCACTTGGATGCTATTTCTGTGACGGGGGCGGGAAGGGGGAGATTTCTTTTGTTCCATGTGGAACTTTTTCTAGTACGTAGAAGCTGTTCAACAAATATCTAGTAAATGAATTAGTCAGTGAAGGAATTTTCCCTATTGTCCCTGGAGGGATCTTTATCAAATCCACTTTCTAAGTTTTCCTTCTGCTTTAAAATTGTTTATGGATGGAATCTTTTGCCTATGGATGCAAGGATGGTCTCCTAAGCATGTTGGCTGAGTTCCATCTGACCCAAAGCTGCTTTTCCAGTCTTATTTCTTACAATCTCTCTTAAAACACCTTGAACTCTCACCCACATTAGCTTCATTTTCTTCTTTTGTGCTTTTTAGCCTTGTTTGTAGTTACATGTAACATAACATTTGCTATTTCAACCGTGTTTATGCATACAATGCAATGACATGAATTACATTCACCATGTTGTGCAATCACCACCACTATCTCTTTCCAAGCCCTTAAGCACTAACATGCCCTGTTCCATTCCCACCCATTCCTGGTAACTGTGATTTAGAAATATACGTATAGTCATGCCTCATTTGTTTGAAAATGAGCATGTCATCTGTCTAAAGTACAAGGGGAATCAAGATGAAAAAGCTCAAACTAAGTTTCCCAGTGCTCAATAGGAAAGTGCCACTGGGTTCAATGGGATGTTGATTTCTCTTACAGTATATACAGTACTAATAGGCTTGGCTACCTAGGTTCTTATCTCAGGGTAGATTAGAAATCGCAATTTAGAACAAAGTGGAGAGCTCTTCAGGAGAAATCAATGACCAAGAAGTGGTTCATATCAATCTGACACAGAGGTAGGAGGTATAACAATTTAAAGAAGATAAAAGAATTCAAAAAGCCAAACAACGTGATGCTATTTACTCTCAGGAAACAAAATCCTAAAGGCCTCTGTTGCCTTTGAAGACGTAGTGTTTTAGTGGATGTTTGCAGTGGTAACATGGGGGTATCAAGGGGGGAAAAAATTACCATCAGTGTTTGGAAAACCCAATTTTTCAGAATGATTAATCTCATGGAGTTTCCAGATAACTGGAGTCTTACTGGATTCTCAATGTATAGAGTGATGAATTGGCTGTGACTGGCTTGTGTTCTAATTTGCACTTATATTTATATTGACAATGTATGATCAAGATGGAGTGAGGTTGGCAGGCTGATTGGAAATAGGGGAGATCATAAACAGAATGTGTGAGAAGAAAAACCTAACAAAATATTCAACTGTGATCCTGTAACCTTTAAAACCTACATTGTACCTATGACTTTTTATACTGACACTTCATAGCAACCCGCTACTTCTGATTTGAAAAACAAAAACAAAAACAGTAGGTTATTTCTCCCCTACAGAATCATAGACATTCAGATATCATGGGATGGGAGGCCTGGGGCTGCACTGACTGCATAGGAAGGCCTATTTGGAGGGTCTACTGGGTGATCCATTGCTGAATTCCTCAAGGGTAATGTGAAAAATGTCACTTTTCTGTCATACAGCAGAACTGGGAGACTTTCATGAAGAAACAGATATGAAACATATGGCACAAACCCGATACTTACCAAACCAAGACTTTTTAGAGAGCAAGATACTGCACTTTCATCAGAAACACGTGTAAGTTCTTTTATTGGTGCCCATTCTACCAGTTGTTGCTATTGATGTTACCTGGTGTCATTTCACCTCCACACATGGTGACCCTATACTCAATGCAACAAAGTGCTGTCCAGTCCTGCAACTTCCATGACCTGTTGTGAATTGAACCTTGTTATCCATAGGGCTTTAATTGGCTGAATTTTTATGTAGATTGTTGTTGTTAAGTGCTGTCCAGTCGATTCTGACCCATAGCGACCCTGAATAGGGTTTCCAAGGAGCAACTGGTGAGCTTGAATTAGCCAGGTCTTTATTCCTAGTTCAGGTTTGTCAGGAAGCTCCGCTGAAACTTTGTTTCAGCGTCATAGCAACACAAAACCACAGACAGAAGGGCCATGGCTTCATCTGAGGCTCATTGACCAAAAGTTGAATCAGGATCTCCTGCCTAGAACATACAAATTCTAGGGAACACTAAAGCTTAGGACATACTCTTCAAAGCAAGCCTTTAAATCTAAGAAGTTTCAGGCTCAAGAAAGTGCTGTCCTCATGGAGCTCTCAGGCTAGAGACGTTATGACTGTTGCATTCATTAGGTGCATAAATTCTTTCCCCTTGCAGCGGTAGGAGCCCAGCTGAGTCGGACATTCTCCTATTGGACATAGCAAGGAAGCTGGATATGTACGGCATCAGGCCTCACCCTGCTAGTGATGGTGAAGGGATGCAGATTCACCTGGCTGTTGCTCACATGGGAGTACTGGTGTTACGGGTAATAGTTCTTTCTTTTGAAGCCTTCAGCTTGGAGGACTATCTTGACTCAAACTTGGGTGTTCATTCCTTAGGGGATCCCATCCCTCTGTCCTACCACCAGCCAGAAAAGGAACTAATGCTTGGGAATGTGTTGAGAAGTCTTCTCCCCTCAGTGAACTTTGCCTCCATTTGCAGTTGATACTTTACTTTGGGGATTCTGAGGATCTTATACATTAGATCAGACCAATATGGTGGGGAGATAAAGTCAAGAGATTCCTTCTTGATGCTAAACAAGGATGTGGATTTTAGCATCCTAAAAACTTAACTTGACAGCACCAAATGCTTTCACCTTGTCCAAATGCACCTGAGGGGTCCAACATGTGGTATTCTAGTTCAGTTATTGATTTCACTAATAAGAGAAAGAGGAGTGACCTCAGATCCACTGAACCCTGGGACCAAATTAGAGCACTGAAGTACGTTACTTCATAACTTACTTTAGAGAATTGATTATAACAAATATAAGAGAATTGATTATAGTAATTGTTTACTACTGTGATTGTTTACTACTGTTCTGCCTTGGCACGAAACCTTTCCCTTGTGTACCCTTCTTGCTCGTGTTTCAGAGTAGCCTTATGCCCCACCTTCTTTGGCCATAGATTGCTGTCATAGAGTCAACTCTGTCTCATGGTGACCTAATGTACAACGAAACATAGCTATGGCTGGTGTCATTCTCACAACCACCAGAGTGTCCATGAGCACTGTTGTGATTATTGTGCCAATTAATTTCACAGAGAAACTCCCTTACCCTTGCTGACCCTCTGCTTCACTCAACATAACAGCTTTTCCTGGAGACATGTCCAAAGCAAGCAAGTCAGACAGTATTGTTAGAATCCATAAGTTTTTCACTGGCTAATTTCTAGAAGTAGATTGCCAGGTCTTTCTTCCTAGTCTGTTTTCATCTGGAAGTGCTGTTGAAACCTGTGCATTGGTTCACCCTAGGGTACTTGAAATATCATTGGTATAGAACACTCAGGCCACCACAGTGATCTTTGACCATAGCTTCTACTTCCTGTGACAGATAGTTCCATTCATCAAGTGATTCTACTAGGTTTGCATTGCCTTATCAAACCACCTTGTGCTGATACTCATCCTGAAATGTGCCTCATGTTTTATTGTAGGGAAACACAAAGATCAATACTTTTAACTGGGCTAAAATCCGCAAGTTGAGCTTTAAGAGAAAGCATTTTCTTATCAAGCTGCACGCCAACATCTTAGTAAGTAGCTTTCTAATGAATTCTCTCTCTCTCTCTCTTTTTTTCCCTATGCATTTGGGGGTTTCTTGGTAGTTTCTGCTAATGGTTTGAATACAGGTAGTGAAAATTGGCTGACCCTTAGAAGTAATGTGCTCCCTCTTTTGTTTCTACCTAAATAAACCAGAGCTTTAGTCATATTTTTACCAAAGGCAAAACACTTAGGAAATCCAACTGGAAGCTCAGACTTAAAGCAATTGAAATGGGATGATTGGAGAGTAAGGAAAATCTACTTGAAAACCTTTTTTTTTTGTCAGGGATTTGATGACCCAACTGGAGATGTCCAGAGCTAGTATTAAGGTGATCTTCTTTTGATAGTATGTGCTCTTTTCTAAAATATCTTCACCTTCTTTTCTTATAAAAAACGTACTGAACACCTACTATGTGCCCAAATCAAGTGTCTTAGACCATATCCAATGGGAAGCAAATGAATACTTCTATAGAAGGCTAAGAGCTAAAGAATGATGCCCCAAATTACTGGATCTTCTGTAGGTAAAAAATTACTTGATCTCCATTTTTCGTTCCCTATATGGTCATAAAAGAACATTCTTTCTAGTGACTTTGTCTCACCCTGTACAATAAATACAGCCTTGCCCAACAAGTGCCTCTTTTGCTTATGTGTACCACCCCACGACAAATACACACATCTCACTTGATTTGGGCAGAGAAGAGGAGGTAAAGAAGGCTTTGAGGTGAGGTGAGCTTGCAAAGCAAAATTTGCTTCTGAGAAGGCTCTGTTTGTACATAGTGGCCCTGTCTGCTCATCAAAGGGTTGCCGATTATTTGGTTTCAGTATGTGTGAAGCCTACAGGGAGCCAAGTGAAAAATCAGAAGCCCAGCTGTATAGGCTCCTGTACCAATGATTTCAAAGACTCTGGGGTTTTAAGGTCTTTGGTATTCTTGAAGGATGTTTTGCTTCATGGAAATTGGTTTTTACAGGTGCTATGCAAGGATACCTTGGAGTTCACCATGGCCAGCAGAGATGCCTGCAAGGCTTTCTGGAAGACTTGTGTGGAGTACCATGCTTTCTTCAGGCTTTCCGAAGAGCCCAAATCAAAGCCCAAGACCCTACTCTGCAGCAAAGGGTCCAGTTTCCGCTATAGGTAATTAAATATTGCATGAAGGCAAATTATACACACAGATTCTTTTCAATAACATGGAAAGCAGTAGGAAGAGCTCAAATTCTAGAAGCAATAAAGAAACCATTTCAGTCACTTGAAAGATGATACTCTTTACTACTCATTCCATGTGTGACATATTAAGTCAATGCTTCCAAACTGGGAGGCAGGAAGAGAGGTACCCCACCGAGGGGGTTGGATCAGAATTTCTGCAAGGATGTGGGGCATATGAAACTTGAGAACACATATTCAATGAGCTTATTGTTTTCCATATAGGCAACTTATATGCAAGTCAAAGAAAGGAAAGGTCAACAACAGCCTTTTGGAGGTGGTTAGGTTAGTGTGAGAAAACACTGTTGTGTAAAGGGATTAAAGATTAAGCTGCAGTGCAATAGAAGCTCCTCACTACAGGTAACACCTTGGAGGACTGGACAGGTGCTCGATTAAGATGTATAGTTACTTGAACTCTGTTGTTGTTAAATGCTGTTGAGTTGGTTCTGACTCATGACGACCCTGTACAGGATTTCACGCTGGTGGGCTTGAACTGCCAACCTTGAGGTTACCAGTGAAGTGCTTAGCCTACAGTGCCATGCCAGAGCTCTTATTTCAACATACAGGTCTAGGAATTCTTTGGAAGAAACTTTCAAAACTCTTAGCTGAATTTATTTAACATACAGGGTTTTTCACAATGTGGAATCCTACCCCATTAAGAATTTAGAATTTTTTAAACTTGCATAATTTTTATGGAATCGTTCCAAAATTGATTCTGCAAATCCCTACCTTCTTAAATAACTGGCACAGAGAATATTTTGACCTTTGCTTAATGACCTATGTTATTATAAATTTGATGACCTGGCTTCAGGATGGGGTTGGACAGGCATTATCAGGACCCGAACCTCAATGATAAATGGCTCAGATTTTGAGGGGCGGTCTTATCATTGTTGTGATTTCTTCTTTTTTCTTTTTTGGCTCTGTGTTTTTCCCAGCAGTCAGCTGGTTTTCTTGGCTAGTGTGTGCATGGTTAGGAACAACTCTCTTCTGTTGAGCTAGCTACCTTTCTTTTGCCATGCATTGGGGAACCAGGTAAGCCACCTCAATAGAAGTAATGTATAAAGGAAGAATCAAGTGACTTTGATTTGGATGTAGAGGAAAAGCCTTTGAAAGCAAGTAGTAGTTTTCAAGGCTAGATGTTAAAACTGTTTGTTGTCAAGTGTCCTTAAATCAATTTTGACTTATAGTGACCCTGTATAGGGTTTTCAAGAGAAGAAAGCCTCATCTTTCTCCTGAGAAGCAGTCAGTGGGCTCAAACCACCAACTTTAACTTTATGGGTATTCCAGTGCTTAGCCTACAGAGCCACCATGCTCCGTAACATACTGTTTAGAGGCTTCAATTCCACCCCCACCCCACCCCCCAAGTTCTGGGTAGTTGAAGTTGTTCTACATCTGATACTTGGTGCAAAAACGGTCAGGAGGCCTTATCTGACTTCCTCTGGTTTACAATGGGGAAGGAGAATCAAACTCAAAATCAGCCCATCATTGATTCTTGTGAGGCAGGTCAGACATGCCTCTACCCTACAACCTTCTTTGCCCTATCCTGATAACACCCATTCCTCCCACAGCACTGTTTCACATGTGGGTTCAATACTCTGTTTCAATGGCCACACATTGAACAGGGTACAATTCAGGGTCAGAAACAAGGCAGGATGCAGCAGTCCTCCAGTTAGGAATGCTTTGCTCTTGTCTTCAGTCTCAGCCATGTGACCCCTTGACCTTTTCCCTGCTCCGGTGTTATAAAGCTCCTTTAGCTAGTCTGTAAATGCCCAAAAGGCACACTCTGTAAGCTCGCCTCCTGTCAGTAGGCACTCAGATTTACTAAGTTCATGGGCAGGGAAGCCCACAGGTTCTCCATGAGACAAGTTTTCCAGGTAAGGCATGGACCTTCACTCATGGATTTTCTTTCTTGATGGTTATATAATCATTGGTTTCTGTTTCTGAGATGGCTCCTTTTAAAGCTAACGGGATGGCAAAACGAACCAATCCTGGCATTAGAGACCTATACACCCACCCTATTTGTATGGTACCATCCAATAATTTGGTGGGAGTTAAGAAGACTTTGGATAGAAAAGCCTTATCAAGTAAATTCATGGTACCACACTTGGATCAGTAGGCATTATCATCAATGTGGAATCCCTAGAAGGTGCAAATAGTTAACATGTTCATTTCTACCCTAAAGTTTAGATTTGAATGCACCCAGAAGTGTCTCAGAAGAAAGGTCTGGTGATCTCATCTGAAAAACCATCCAGTGAAAACCCAGTGGAGCACAGTTCTACTTTGGGTTACCATGAGTAGGAAACGACTCCATGGTAACTGGTTTTACAGGATTGTATCATTCATATGATGGTCAATGATTAATGAAATATGGCATTCATTCTGACTCTTTTGGTGTAAACAAAAACAAGACTTTCAAGTGTGAGTTGCTTATACTAGTATTCAAACAATTTTTATCTCTTTATACTAGTGGAAGAACTCAAAGACAACTTCTGGAATATGGAAAAAAAGGGAGGATGAAGAGTTTACCATTTGAAAGGTACATACTTTTATCTTTCCTTCTCTCTCATGCTGATTTTAAGTTGAATTTGAGATTACAATGTATCCTGGTATGCACATGAAGACCCTTTCACTGACTACTGTGTTTGGGGATTTCAGGAAACATTACCCATCTCAGCACCATGAACGACAGTGCAGGTCTTCACCAGACCTCCTCTCAGATGTGTCAAAACAAGTAAGGTTCCTGAAAATTCCTACGCTTTTAGGTAAATGCGTCTCCATTTGAAATTATTCCAGGAAGTGATTCTGCTAGAATTCTCCAAGTGTATAGCAAGGTTACTCTGTTTGAGTACATTAGCCTCCTGGGGAAGTCTGTCATTTAGTAAACCATCGCTGTGAATCTTATAGACTGGAATAATCTGGCACATCTTCAAATTGCAATTTATATTGCTAACATCTTGCAAAATGCAGATCCAAATGAATTTCTTTGGCACTGTATTTGTCAAACTAGCAACTCTCTCTTTTTTTTTTTTTCTTAAATATGCAAATATTAAGGTTTAGAAGATAAGCCAAAATGTATTGCTTCTAAGGTTCCAGTTCATGCACGCATGGGTGTATGATATGATACAATAAGATATGATTGAAGAGATCTCTGAAATCAGTGGATGATTACAGACCAGTTCCCTCAGTAATACATTTCGTCTTAGTCTTGTTGTTGTTCTTAAGTGCCATCGAGTAGGTTCCGACCCACAGTGACCCTGTATAGGGTTTCTAAGGAGCAGCTGGTGAGATTAAACCGCCAACCTTGAAGTTCAAATGGCTTTGCAGTCTGAAGCATTAGTCCACAGCGCCACACCAGGACTCCACTTAGTATTGTTAGGATGCCTAAAAAATGGTTCACAGGGTTTCAGGGGACACCAAGATCAATTGGCAAAACATGTTCAATGAAAGAAGCCAAACAAGTTTATGAAAAGCTCTACAAAATGTACATAAATCAATATAGAAAAAAAATTAATGAGCTGCTTCCTGGGGACTGGAAGAGGTGAGGACATTTGGGGGATACTAGTTATGTTCACGATCTTAACTGTGGTCATGGATTGATAACTATGTTAAAACCCATCAAATTATGAAAGGGATTCAAAAAGGTCATGGAAATATGGGATAGAACGATAATGGAATTTTTTGGTAAATTTTTTGAAGCCCCCTTGTATAGTTTATTACAGGTTCATTGTTGTTGTTAAGTGCCATCAAGTCAGTTCTGACTCGCAGAGGCTCTGTATAGGCTTTCTGAGGAGTGGCCAGTGGGTTTGAATCACTGACCGTGTGATTCACAGTCCGGTGCTGATCCTACAGAGCCACACCAGGAGTCCATAATACT